ACCTTTCCTTACTTATATGGAAAAATATCGATTTTCTCATTTTCTTTATTATATGGCAATGCCGATTGATCTGACATGACCAGAAGGGGATCACTGACTGGCCGCGTCCTGCTAGATTTATGCCTATTCAACGGTGCATAGAAGGAGATGGGGGGGGGTGTACCTGCAAGACACTCTGATGCCAAAGTAAGAAGTTGGACAGAGTGATCACAAGTACAGAAAAGGGTTAGAAGAGAATATCTGACCATCTTGTGAAAGAGGGTATTTATAGAGAGACCCTAGCACAGGGCCGACGGTCATTTGAGTTAGGCTGGATGGCCAAGCCCAACCCAAGTGACTGCTAGGGCGTACGTGGCGGAGTGAAGACCAGAACGTGGTCTTTGCCCTAGTTCAACTGCTCCGTGGACTCCGGAAAGTGGGTTGACCTGCTCTTTCGGAGGTGGGCAGTTGGTGGATGACGTGTCCTTGCGGAGGGGAGCACGTGGAGAACGCGTGAAGGACACGTTTGTTTTGCTCGACAGGGGGAGAAGGCCCTGCCCGCGGAGGGTATTCTTTGCCCGACGGGGACCTTGTGCTCGACGGCAGTAGCCCAAGCCAGATTGGAACTACTACACATTACTGGGTTGGGCCTGCTCGGTCAAGCCGAGACCCAGGCCAGAACACCGATATTAAAGCTTCAGCCCATAAATTAATCACATATTCTCCTATTTGTGATTTCATCAAGTTTCTCTTGCAAGTTTGCAAGGATTGCTTGAAAGTCTCTGCAACATTCAAGTTTAATTCACACTAAAATAAAGAATCTTCAATTATATTTGAATACGATCAAACCTAAAGTGAAATTATACATAAAAACAATAAAGTTTCTCTTCTATGTGTGATTTCATTAAGCTTCTCTTGCAAGCTTGCTTGAAAATCTCTGCAACATTCAGGTTTAATTAACACTAAAATAAAGAATCTTCAATTATAGTTGGATAGAATGAACCCTAAATTGAAATTATACATAAAAACAATCAAGTTTCTCTTCTATGTGTGATTTCATCAGGCTTCTCTTGCAAGCTTGCGAGATTGCTTGAAAATCCCTGCAACATTCAGGTTTAATTAACATTAAACTTAACCTAATAATGTTCATTAGTCAGGTGTGTGATGCTACATTCTTACCCCAAACAAACACAATCTGATAAAAGAATTTAATAAAATTGAATTTATGAAACCTAACGTGAAATTATACATCGAGCAAAGAGAAATTAGTTAGTATATACTCACATTTCTTCTTGATCAATTATTAAGTCGGGGCCCAGGCCAGAACACCGATATTGAAACTTGTAATTCTTTCTTTCGACTATACCATTTTAAAATATATATTAAATAGAATTTAATTTTATCTCGCTTTATATTAATTTTAATTTTATCTATTTTTTTATTAATTTTAATTTTATCTCTTTTTATGCAATTATCTCTTTTTGATCTTATATAATATAGTTGATCTTTTTTTAATTATATTTTAATTAATTTAATTTTTTTATTTCAAAATTAAATTTTAAATCAAATAAAGTATTAAAATATTAATATATTTATTGGAAAATATATGATGAAGATGTACTATATCATTTATTTATTTTTTAAAGTTGAAAGATTCAAAATTATTAAAGAGTCACTAAATAAAAAATAATCAAAATATCATCTTTTTTCATTTTCATAAATAAAAAAATTATTATAAAATAAATATGAATTGTATTCTATAAAAGTTCGGAAAATAATATATATGAGCAAATTAGTTGTATGTTGAAAAAATATTTACTAAAATTTTTATTAAAAATAAATAAATTTATTATGAATAAATCCGTATGATATTTTTTGAAATAAACAAAGTCAACAATCAAAGTTAGACTATTTTTATAGAAAATAACAATAAATGTTGACCTTTTAAAAATTATAAATGGACTTTGAATGATGTCACGAGAAAAAAAAAAGGTGGCATAAAAGAAATTATGTATCTTAAATAGTTTGATACAATGAATTTGATAAATATAAGTAGAATAAATATTAATTGTTAGTTTGTTTTGAATATATTGACGTTTGTCTACCTACGTGTTGTCAACTGTTGATATTATTCATTTGATTAATGTAATACTGGTAGATCAATAAAATAAATGGGCAATTAATTACCATGTATTAAAGCCTGAAAGTTTTACCTCATACCCCTACACTTATACTTATACCCCTACATTAAAAAATTTTGGATCAAAATATCCTCGTATAAAAATTTATTATTTTTCAATTTTTTTTATATTTTTTTATTTGTTTACCGGAAGACTTTTTGTAAGTCTTCCGGTTCACACTTTTTTAGTATGTTTACCGGAAGACTTTTTGGAAGTCTTCCGTACATATTTTTTCGTTTGTTCACCGGAAGACTTTTTGGAAGTCTTCCGGTTCATGTTTTTTTTTTAATTTGTAATTAATATTTAAGATTTATTAATTTTATATAAAGACCAATTTAGTAAATTTTTGAATATTATACTTAAAATATAAAAATTCTATAAATAGAGAATCATTTTCAGAATATTTTCTATTTACTATAATTATTAGAATACTAGGATTAAAATTATTTATTTTAAATGATCATAATAGTAGAATTTTCTCAAATATCTTATTAATCTTAAACATTAATAAATAAAATAAATTTAAATATAAGATATAAGTTTACATTATTCAATATATTTAATCAAATGAAAACATATGTGATAAATAAATAATGTATTTTAACTTAAAATGATCACAATAAGTTAACTTGCAAAATAATATAAGTAATAAATTAATAATGTATTTTATTTAAAATAATCACAATAATAGAATACGCAAATAATGTGTTTTATTTATAGGACTGATATAGTTTTATTGATTATTTAATTTTGAATACTACTATGAATATAGTATTTAATCTATACTTTAGAACTCACATAATTATAAATATAAAAAATATTGTTTTATTACCCATATTTTTATTTAATTAAAAAAAATAAAATATAAATTTATTATTTGTTTTTCATTTTTGTTTGATCTTTTTAATTATTTCACTTTATTTAATATTTTTAATAAAATAAATAATATATTTTATTTAAAGTAAGCACAGTATAGAATATGCAAAAAATTTATAAATAAAAAAAAGATCAAACGAAAATGAAAAACAAATAATAAATTTATATTCTTATTTTATTTAATTAAATAAAAATATGGGTAATAAAACAATATTTTTTATATTTATAATTATGTGAGTTCTAAAGTATAGATTAAATACTATATTCATAGTATTATTTAAAATTAAATAATCAATAAAACTATATCAGTCCTATAAATAAAACACATTATTTGCGTATTCTATTATTGTGATTATTTTAAATAAAATACATTATTAATTTATTACTTATATTATTTTGCAAGTTAACTTATTGTGATCATTTTAAGTTAAAATACATTATTTATTTATCACATATGTTTTCATTTGATTAAATATATTGAATAATGTAAACTTATATCCTATATTTAAATTTATTTTATTTATTAATGTTTAAGATTAATAAGATATTTGAGAAAATTTTACTATTATGATCATTTAAAATAAATGATTTTAATCTTATTGTATTCTAATAATTATAGCAAATAGAAAATATTCTAAAAATAATTCTCTATTTATAGAATTTTTATATTTTAAGTATAATATTTAAAAATTCACTAAATTGGTCTTTATATAAAGTTAATAAATCTTAAATATTAATTACAAATTAAAAAAAATATATGAACCGGAAGACTTTTTGGAAGTCTTCCGGTAAACAAACGAAAAAATATGAACAGGAAGACTTCCAAAAAGTCTTCCGGTAAACATACGAAAAAAATGTGAACCGGAAGACTTCCAAAAAGTCTTCCGATAAACAAATAAAAAAATATAAAAAAAATTAAAAAATAATAAATTTTTATACGAGGATATTTTGGTCCAAAAATTTTTAATATAGGGGTATAGGTACAAGTGAAAGGGTATGAGGTAAAACTTCCTTAAAGCCTTTATTTTTTTTTGTCCTCGTTAGCTTAAAAAGTATGACAAAAGTCCATTTTTATCTATTCATCCAAAAACAATTAGATAAAATAATTAATAGAGTAACTTGTATTAGAAATTTACAAAATAAATTTAATTGAAATGCAATCAAAAAAAATTTTACACTATTAAATAATTATAAAGGTTAGATATTAAAAATAAGAATTAATTTTTAATTTAATTATTAATAAAATAATACTAACGAGTGATATGATAATTTTTATTGACAGTATAAAAAGATTTATACTAAAAGTGTATAACAATTAATCTCAATAAAAATTTATAAATTTTAGACTACTAAATAAATAATTAAATATAATAAAATAAAATAATATTAGTTGAATTGGTACCTATTTAATTTTTTATAATGGATAGAAAAGTTTTTCCATGACAAAATTAGACATGAATCTCTTGAATGAAATATGATACAACTATGGGCATGAATAAATGTTCCATGAACACGCACATGTTATTGTTCCCCACCCATTCCACCATGTTCAGGGAACATTTGCAGCTACTTAATCGGTTCTTGATCTAAAATAAAAACAAACAAAAAATATAAATAAATTTTTACTGTATAAAATATAAAAAATTACTGATTTAAATTTTATATCTTTAAATCATATAAACTATTAAGCTACCAAATACGTACACTAATAGAAAATCAAAGATCATAATTTAGAGTCGTTTATTATTGTGTCCGTTCTTACTACTTACTGCAGCACTTAAGACTCATAATTATATTTTGTTTTAAACAATATATATAACAAGACAAACCATATAATAATAATACACAAATTAATTATATAGAACATCCTGTTTTGTCCATTAATTTGTGGCTGTATTTTCTTAATTATCTTACTATAATTCAAACGGGCATCAAAATATGACAAAGGATGGAGCAGATAGTAAACTAGCTCCTGTTTTTGCATTTCTCCATAGCTCTTGGTGCTGAAATAAATAAACCAAAATAAATTATGCTTAAAATGAAATTTCCAAAGTTTTTGCATTTTCATGATTAAAATAGAAACTTTAATTACAAATTTACAAATGAAATGATGACTCACAAATGTGATTTATTTCTGACAAATAATAATATAATTTAAGATTTGATACTAACCAATACCAATAGCCTCCTTTCCTTTCATGATTCGCAGACGTTTGCATGATTCAACAAACATCCTAGTTGACATGAATACAGTCACTGTTAGAGGGCTAAGCTTATAATTAGTTAAATCCATATCATAGAAAGATTCAATTGCGATAATGGTTAAATATTTTTTTTTCCGTATGTTTATATATATATATACTATATATATATATATATATATATATATATATATATATATATATATATATATATATATATATATATATATATATATATATATATATATATATATATTATATATATATATATATATATATATATATATATATATATATATATATATATATATATATATATATACTCATTCTAAATGACTCCACAAATTAATAACTCTACAGAGAAGAAAATTACTTTGCCTAGTTATTTGTCAATAGGAATGGCAAAATGGTTTCGATTCCCTATGTGTCGGACATGTCTTAGGAAAATTAACCTAAAAACTAGATGCAAGTTTAAATAATTGAAAAACCATTTTCAACGTCCATATATTGTTCAGTAATGACTCAATTATAAATAAAACATCATTTCAAATAAAGCATATTGAAACACTTTAGGGATCCTCTTATTTCATATTCCTTAGGACATTAATTTACTCTCTTAAGAACATGTTGACTAGAACTGATACAACTCATAAGAAAACACATACTCAAATTCAAACTCTTATTTCATACTCCTTAGGACATTAACTTACTCTTTTAAGAACATGTTGACTAGAACTTATACAACTCATAAGAAAACACATACTCAAATTCAAACTCTCCATTTATCATCAAAACCAAACATGTCTAACATTTAATCCAAAAAACTCCAACTAAATGAGTCATACACTCTCTCAAAAGCCATATTAAAGATAAGACATTCTCTGTGAGCTATTTAATTTCATATATACAATCTAATCTCACATTAGAATTTAATATCATTACATTATCCATCCACAAAACTTTTCTAATCTCAGCTCCTTCAACAGATTCTTCATCCACACCGCTTAGCATGCATACAACAAATTTGCAATGTACTCAGCCTCACAAAAAGAGAAGGTCACTATTGGTTCCTTCTTCGAACATCAAGAGATTGCTATTTCTATGAATAAAAATATGTATCCAACTGTAGATTTTGTATCAACTTTATCTCCACACCAATTGGAATCGGTAAATTCGAGTAAATTGAATTTCGACTCTTGAACATTGTGAGAAAGAAAATTCCATATCTAACAAAATAATTGTCTTATTGTAGAATCCTCTTGTCTGTTTTCAAGTGAGACACATTTGGCATGTCCATGAATATGCTCACAATAGTAACACTAAAAAGCAAATTTGGCTCCATATTACACAAGTAACGCAAAGATCCAATCAGCTTTCGATACTGAGTTGAATTAACATCTTGTTCATCATGATTCTTCGACAACTGCAACCTTGGTATAGCCAACATTATAATGCTTTATTTCAAATTTCTTCAAAAACTCAATCGCATACCTTCTTCGGTGCATAAGCAGACCCTTCTTAGAATAGTAAAATTCAATGTCAAGGAAGTATGCCATGAAGCATAGGTTGGTATTCTCAAACTCCTTCATAATTGCACCCATGAACTTAACAATGCATCCTTCATCGCTTTCTGTAATCAACAAATCTTTTACATAGAGACAAATGATTATCACCCCTTCATTTGTATCCTTCTTCACATACACACCATGTTTGGATACACCCTTCTTGAAGCTTATCTCCTTTAAGAAACCATAAATCCTCTTGTTCTAAGCTCTTGGAACGTATTTCAAACCTTACAACGCTTTATTTAATTATAAAATTTTTAATATTTATTTGTCATAACAAAATCAGGAGGTTGTTCTAAATAAACCTCTTATTCAAGCGAGACATTCAAAAATGAAGATTTGACATCCATGTATCAAATGGACCAATTGTTGTTGTTGTTTGCAATCCCAACACCCAATCAGATGGTTTCAATTCTACCACATATGCAAATAACTCTTTAAAGTCTATGCCTTCTCTTTGTAAAAATCCCTTTGCAACTACTCGAACCTTGTGCTTGAATATTTCACCCTTGGGATTTTCCTTCACTTTGTACACTCACCATACACCTATTGTATTTTTTCCTTCAGGTAGATATAATAACTCTCAAGTATTTTTCTTCTCAATTTATTCAAGCTTCCCCTTCATAACACAAATCCATTTTGGATCACTCAAAGCCTCCTCTGTTTTAACGAGTTCAAATTTGACCATAAGTGCAAAATGGACGAAATCACCATCGTCATTGATCTCGTTATCTTGGGATAACTCATAATCTTATAATATTGTAGAAAAATCTTTTTGTCTTGTTGATCTCCTCACATTATCTTCTATTTGGGCTTCAACGGGGGCTGGTTCTGTACCTACCAGCATTGCAGGAACAAACTTTTCACAAGTGTAACTAGTTGACATATTATGAGAACCGATTGCACTCTGCTACAACTGCTTAGTTTCATATAAAATAACGTCTATGGTGATCACGATTCTTTTGTTTGTTGCATCATATAACTTGTAACCACATGTAGAGTGATACCCTACATGTATCATATGCTTTCCCTTATGATCTTGTTTCTTTCTAAGCTAATTCAGGACATGTGTATACACAGCCGAGTCAAATACGTTCAAGTGACTCAAATTTGGCTTGACTTCAAACCAATATTCTTCTTGTGTGATCTTTTCAAGCTTCTTTGTTCGATATCTATTCAACAAATATGTAGTTGTGGACACCGCTTCTCCCCATAAATTTTTTGGAAAGTTTTTTCCTTTTAACATGCTTTTCACCATGTTCATGATCAACGATTCTTCCTTTCGACAACACCGTTTTGCTACAGTGTATAAGGTAGCACTACTCATGTTCTATGCTCTCTTTATCATAAAAACTCCCAAAGTCATTTGATACATATTTACCTCCAACATCTGTTTTGTGAACTTTGAGTTTGTGACAATTTTTCCTTTCAACTATGGACTCGAACTTGTTAAACACTTCAAGTACCCCATCTTTTCTCTTGACAAAATATCTATTACAACCAATTGAATTAACTTGCATCGTTTCACATACATCTGAATACACCACCTCAAGTTGACACTTGGTTCTACAACTTGCATCCTTGCTGAATTTTCCATTATGCTGCTTATTCTTCATAAATTTCAGCCAATATGATTATCAATGGCAGCCTCGTCACCATTCCACTCTTTTGCAAGGCATTGACATCTCGAAAACTAAGATACCCAAGTCTATATTGTCATATCCACTCTTTCTGAATAGACGTTGTAGTAAGACACCTACGCTCCATAACCGTAAACTCAACTTTGAAAGTTCTATTGGGAGTCGTAGGAGCCTGTAAGACCAACACCATGTTTACGTCCATAACATGTAACACCTTGCTGTCCATATGAATTTTGCAATCCTTCTCAATTAATTGACCAATACTTAGAAGATTGCACTTGATTATAGGAATATATAACACATCCTTTATTAAAGAATGTCTACTAGCCCTTTTGTCAATCGATACATCTCTGATCCCTTTCGCCGCTAGAGTGGTTTCATCTGCGAAGTTAACCTTATTCTTCATGGCACGATTGATTATAACAAACTAATGTTTCCTCTCCTCGTATTCATTAAAACCATGGAGTCCAAATATAGTTGATTGTTGCATTGCACGGCTTCTTTCAAAGTCCCCATGGCACTTTCTTCAGTGTGTTACAGGTTGGCATAAAACTCCAACCAGTTACACTTTGGTTATGCAGTATTTTTCAAACATTTCTTACTGTTGCCTCGCAACTTGTTACTGCTTCATTCTCCGTCAATGATCATGATCAAAAGTGTTTTCTTATCATCAAACTATTATCTTGCAACTCTAGCTTCATCTTTTTGAGGTTATTTCTTGCTGGCATTATACTCTCTTGTAAAATTACCAAGCTTTTGGCAAATATAGCATTGCACACTACTTTTGTCAACCATCATTCTCTCTCATCTACCTCTTAGATTTCCAACTCTATAGTTGTTTGACCCAGCAGCAATATTGCCACTGTTTTCACCATATTAAAATGTTGAATTTCTTGGAACTTTGGGTCTCTCTCCCACCAAAATTTTGAAATTTTCCTCTACCTCTATTCATGAGCCACTTTCCCTTTGATTTCTTGTCTCTCACATTGAAACGGGATTGTAAAGCAAACTTCACCTTTGCCATATCAACACTCCTTTCCTCGATTCTCCGCTCATATGCTTGAAGAGAGGTTTACAACTCCTTTTTGCTCATCGACGAAAGATCCTTCAATTCCTCAATTGTAACCACCACATTATCAAATTTTGGCATCAAAGAATGCAATATTTTCGTGACAACATATTGCTCGGTGATTATTTTTCCACACAATTTTACTTGGTTCACCAACTGAGTAATCCTCGGCGTAAAATTGTCGATATCCTCATTCTCTTCCATTTAAATCAACTCAAGACGTCTTTTCTGAGTTTGTAACCTCATAACCTCCGTCTTCGCTACCCCTGTATAGGCCTTGTCCAAGATTTCTCACACTTTCTTTGATGATTATCAATCACTAACTTTCTCAAAATTATCCACAGCAACACATTGATGGATAAAAAAATTCCTTATAATATTTTGTCTTCTCCTCCTTATGGTTAGAGCATTGTGCATCCGTTGCACCTTCTACAAGTGTAGTTACCCTATTCTTGATCGCTTCAAGAACATCATAATGGTCAAAGAACACTTTTATTTATTTGCACCACTTGTCGTAATTATTCGCATCAAGAATAGGTAGATTTGCAGAAATTTTTTTATTGGAGACAGAAGTCATGTTTTCACAATATGTGTTTGATGGATCGAACCACACTCTTAATGTCAAATGTTGGAACTTTACACCACAAAGTTGGTGAATAATTGAGTGTGGAGATGGAGAGAGTGACAGAGAATGAGAGAGAGTGGTCGAGGGAGAAAATATGTAGATTCATTTGATACCCGAAGGGTATATATACAACAATACAATAAGAGGTACAATTATCAAACAAATAAAGCAAGAAACTCTTAGGTGTAATCAATTGCACTACTATGCCATCCGGTTATATTCAGTTACAGACTCAGCTAAAAAATTTAGGTATAACAAATTAACATATTATGTCAACCACTTACATTTAGCTATTTTAAAATTATGTTTGACAAATATAAAAGTGTTTAATCGGTTATACTAATATATCGACGGATTAAATGCATGTGAATTAATTTTTTCTCTTAACAAATTAGTATTATTATGAAATATAAATTTAGAAGACTAATTCTAATTATTACTAAATTTATTAATCAAATGTTTTAGTCAATAAAACCTATATTTATCGTAACTAATTTTTAAAGATCTATGTTTTGATATGTTTACATGAAAAATGCACTTTAAAGAATAAAATAAGAACTTCTAAATGATTGATTGAAAATTATCAAATACTTTATATTTTAGCATTTTTATTGATAATACCTAATATTACCAACCATTGATAAGTAAAAATAGAAATACTTACTCCCATGGAACGTCACCGACAAGCATCCAGTCACCATCCTTGTCTTCATAGGTTGCGACATAATCAGAGTTGTTTAAAAGATTCATCAACTTACTCTCATTCATAAAATCCTTCATGCCTTGAGATTCACAATTTCCTTACATATACAAACACAACAATAACGAATAAGTATTATCAATAAAAGAAGGTAACATTAGTTAAGCTTAATGAATATAATGTATTATTAATTACCAATGGTGAAGGAGCTGAACATTTTGCCTAAGGAATCAGAAAGCTGTGAGTAGTTTTTGTACATCTTCAAATCTACCTTGCGGAGGTAAGGTGCTCCATCCATGCTAACTTTCACAAAGGTAATTGCAATGGGATTTAGATTGCCACTTTCTTCACTCTTTTGTGTTGCTAACATGTTCTTCCGGAACGACCTCACAGGTGGCCAACCTACCACTTGTGTCCTATACATACAAATATAAAACTCAGGCAAGTATCTTATAGTACCTATTATAAATATGAAGAAGATTCATGCTATGATTGGATAATCTAGGACCATGTAAGGTGATGCACGCAGAATTTATATCTATTATAATAACGTTAAAAATGAAACTGTTAGAAGATGATTCAAAGTTTGAATAGAGACCAACTCTGATGGAGCTCTTCATTGCATCATGAATGAGACTTTTATGCCATGTGAGTTCTGGAACATATAGATTAATTGCAAGAATTTTCCGATATATAAAACGTAACTAACGAATCACGATAGATAATAATGGGGTGAGTGACTTCAACTTTTCTTTAATGTGTTCTTGTTGTGTCTTTTATTGGTTCGTTGCTTTTACACTTTGGATTGGAAATATCTAGCTCTGTCTTAATTCTAGTATTTTTTTTTATCTTACCTCTACTTATTTCTTGGGCTTTTATTTCCTCGCCTGGTGAATAAATGTTTGGATTTTCTTATATTTTCTGTTAATTTTTTTTACTCAGGATTGTACTCCTTGTGTCTTTTCTTTCGGATGTCCTTCATACCTTTTCTATATATATATATATATATATATATATATATATATATATATATATATATATATATATATATATATATATATATATATATATATATATATATATATATATATATATATATATATATATATATATATATATATATATATATATATATATATATATATATATATATATATATATATATATATATATATATATATATATATATATATATATATATATATATATATATATATATATATATATATATATATATATATATATATATATATATATATATATATATATATATATATATATATATATATATATATATATATATATATATATATATATATATATATATATATATATATATATATATATATATATATATATATATATATATATATATATATATATATATATATATATATATATATATATATATATATATATATATATATATATATATATATATATATATATATATATATATATATATATATATATATATATATATATATATATATATATATATATATATATATATATATATATATATATATATATATATATATATATATATATATATATATATATATATATATATATATATATATATATATATATATATATATATATATATATATATATATATATATATATATATTTATTTATTTGTGTGTGTGTGTCAGGAAAAAAAGAACAGGAACACAATCACAACACATGAACATAACGTGGAAACTCCAAAACCGGAGAAAAAACCATGGTCGTTGTCAATAGAAAACCAGAGAATAGTGCTATGTGAAAACTATTACAACACACAATATACCCTCACAAACCCATACCCTCCAAAACAAATATTTAACTACATCCCACAACACTCTAAAACAAGAGTATAAGAGAACAAAGAAATTCAAATAAAAGCTTAAAGTTCTTTTGACTGATGCATGTTGGAATGAAGAACTTGGATCTTATATATAGCCTTAGACTCCTTTTTACTTCACAAAACTAAGCGATGTGAGACTTCAAAAAACTCATCTTCATTCGCAAAACTGAACAATCTGAGACTTCTTCAACATATATATTTTCAACCAACCCAACAATCTCCACCTTGATTGAAAATAATACATAATGTTTCATTGTCTTTACCGATAATCATACTCCATCATAAAGAGTATCAACATGTATATTTTCAACCAACCCCAACAATCTCCATTTTGATTGAAAATAATACATAAACTTTCATTGTCTTCATCAACAATCATAGTCCACCATATAAAGTACAGTCACTTGAAAATACACCACTCCAAAAATTTTCACATTGTCTTCACCAACAATCATAGTTTTAAAAACTCTCATACTCTCTCATGAAAAATATATTTCACTTGAAGATAAACCACTTCAAGAATTTCACATTGTCATCACCGACAATCATATACTTTATAATGAAGAACAAATTTCACTCGAAGCTAAACCACTCCAAGAATTTTACACTGTCTTCACCGATAATCATAGTTTTAAAAACTATAAAACTTAACCTAAAGAAGAGTATACTTAACTTGAAGGTAAACCACTTAAAAAAATTTCACATGTCGTAAATCAGGTTGAAACACATGATGGTGTAACTTTCTCGTTGGATGAAGCTCTTCAACCACCGACATAATCTTGTACCTTGTGTAATTTTGATTATATCAACACATCTTTGACTTGAACTTTCCACAAGTCAATATATTCTCCCATCAATTTTCTCTGTCTCAAACTGCCCAATGGAATTTTTGAATGCAACTTAACAACTCTGCAACAACAAAGCATAATAAGAACACTTATCGCCTGATCGAACCAAAATATCTGATACCAATGTCAGGAAAAAAACTAAACATAGAGAAAAAGAACAAGAACACAATCACAACGCAAGAAAATAACGTGGAAACTCCAAAATCGGAGAAAAAACCACGATCGTTGTTAATAGACAACCAGAGAATAACACTATATGAAAATTGTTACAACAATTAACATACCCTCACAAACCTAGGCCGTCAGTACACTCACACCCTCCAAAACAAATATTTAACTATATCTCACAACACTCTAAAACAAGAGTATAAGAGAACAAAGAAAGTCAAATACAAGCTTAAAGTGCTTTTGACTGGTGCATCTTGGAATGAAGAACTTGGATCCTATATATAGCCTTGGACTCCTTTTTCCTTCACAAAACTAAGTGATGTGGGACTTCAAAAAACTCCTCTTCATTCACAAAATTGAGCGATGTGAGACTTCTTTAACATGTATATTTTCAACCAACCCCAACAATCTCCACCTTGATTGAAAATAATACATAAGCTTTCATTGTCTTCATCGACAATCATACTCCACCAACAGAGTATCAACATGTATATTTTAAACCGACCCCAACAATATATATATATATATATATATATATATATATATATATATATATATATATATATATATATATATATATATATATATATATATATATATATATATATATATATATATATATATATATATATATATATATATATATATATATATATATATATATATATATAATATATATATATATATATATATATATATATATATATATATATATATATATATATATATATATATATATATATATATATATATATATATATATATATATATATATATAATATATATATATATATATATCAAACCGTGGGGAAAGTACAAGAAAGTTAACAATGAAACCAAGAAGGTGATGAGTGAAGTAAGAATCCAAAATTTTGACAGATTATACCAATTTCTAGAAACCATGGAGGGAGAAAATGTATATATATATATATATATATATATATATATATATATATATATATATATATATATATATATATATATATATATATATATATATATATATATATATATATATATATATATATATATATATATATATATATATATATATATATATATATATATATATCTGTGTGTGTGTGTGTGTGTGTGTGTGTGTGTGTGTGTATGTGTTTACACACACACGCACACGCACACATACACATATACTTGCTAAGGGAAGAAAAATAAAGATTAGAGATTTGGATCAAGTGAAGTGTGTTAAAGATGAAGAAGGAAAGGTCGTGGTTCAAGAAAAGGATATAAAGGATAAGTGGGAGACGTATTTCTATAACTTGTTTAATGAAGCATATGATATCACATTATACATTTGCAGACTTGACATTAGAGAGGCATATCAGAACTATAATCACTAACTTTGGATCCAGAAGCTGTAGATAAATAAAGCATTGAAAGAATGAGTAATAGTAAGACAGTTAAATCAAACAATATACCTCTTGAAGTGTAGAAAACTCTTGGAGATAGAGGTATTGAGTGGCTCACCAAACTTTTTAATGAAATCATGAGGTCAAAACGCATGTCAGAGGAAAAGAAACATCTTAGTTCCAATTTATAAGTATAAATGGGATATATAAAATTGTGTAAATTATAAGAGATTAAACTTTTGACTCATACCATGAAGTTATGGAAAAAAATGATTGAAGAGATCTTAAGAAAAATGACTCAAGTCTTTGAGAATCTATTTGGTTTTATGCCTAAAAGGTCGACCATGGAAGTGATTTATCTATTACGGTGTGTGATGTAGCAGTATCAAATGGACCAACAAAATCTGAAACGAATTTTTATTGACTTGGAGAAGACATATTATAGAGTGTTTAGAGAGATTTTGTGGAAAACCCTAGAGAAGAAAGGGGTTAGGATTGCATATATTTGAGCTATCCAAGATATGTATGAAGGGGTATTGACTAGTGTATGGAGAGACAGATGATTTTTTCATTATAATTGGTTTGCATCAAGCTTCAACCTTAAGCCCCCTACCTTTTTACCTTAATTTTGGATGTACACATGGAACATATCCAAGAGCTATCGCCAAGATGCATACTTTTCGCAGATGATATAGTTTTTGTGGAGAGTCGAAGAAGGATTTAAACGAGAGTTTGAAAACTTGGAGCGAGCTTTAGAAACTCACAGTTTTCGGCTAAGTAGAACTAAGACAGAGTATATAGAATGTGAGTTCAATAAAAGAAGAAGCGTTTTTAACCTAGAGGTGAAAGTTTGACACCATATTATCACTCAAGTATCACAGTTTAAATAACTTAGTTCCATAATACAAAATGATAGAGAAATATAAGAGGATGTAACCCATTGAATTCAAGTTGGATGGTTGAAATGAAGAAGAGCATAAAGTATTTTATGTGATGCAAAGGTACCACTCGAGTTGAATGTATAGTTTTATTGGACTGCGCTAAGACCTCCAATTTTTGTACGGGACAAAATGTTGAGTGACTATAAACCAACACGAGAATAAAATACGTGTGATAAAGATGAGGATGTTACGGTAGATGTGTGGTAAAACTCGACATGATATAATTAAAAACGAAAGTATTATAGAGGGTTTCAGGGTAGCAGTATAGTGGAGAAGATGGTAGAAAATTTACTTAAGTATGGATATGTAGAGAAAAAATTGGTAGACATAGTAGTAAGGAAGGTATATCAGATGGAGAAAAGGCAAACAATGATTTGGAGAGAAACATGGTGCTTGATAGAACATTATGACAAAAATGGATCCATGTAGTGGACTCCACTTAGTGGGATAAAATTTAGTTGTTATTGCTATTATATATATATATATATATATATATATATATATATATATATATATATATATATATATATATATATATATATATATATATATATATATATATATATATATATATATATATATATATATATATATATATATATATATATATATATATATATATATATATATATATATATATATATATATATATATATATATATATATATATATATATATATATATATATATATATATATATATATATATATATATATATATATATATATATCACGAGAAACTTGCAGCATATTCAATAGTAATTATTCTGCCCTCTTTAACTGACTAGGCATACAGAACAAATATGTAATATAAAAAGGTACTGTATTCCATATTTATATGTTGCACGATATGATCAAGAACTTTTTATTGTACTTAATTATTGAGTTTTTTCCTTTTTAAAATTTTCTGTTTAGACAAAAAGTATATTTTTATTTTTTTCATAGTCTCTTTTTCTAACTCACGAATTCATATTTCAACCTCTTTCATTAATTATTTCTATCTTCCATGATCTATGCCTATTTCTCTCACACACATGCATAGAAAATTACTACATTCTTACACGTCTAAACAATGGTTTAAAAACCAGTCCGTGAACACAAAAATACATGTGACAAATTGATACCGATACTATTATTCACAATTCTATGATAATTAAAATTATAGTAAATTTATCAGTATCGTAATATTTGTATATACTGAAATCGTAAAATTTTGTATGCAACTACAGCGCAAATACGCTGATACTTAAAACCTTGCACCTAACTAAACCATGGAAAACTTTATAAAGAAATATTTACAAGTTTTAATATCAAAGTTAAGAAAAAATGAGAAGAGATCTATCCTTTTCAATATAAAAATATAGTTACGTCTAAGTTAATCTTGAAGATATTTTAAAAATATGTAACTTTTGTTTTGGCTTATTAAAACGATAACTGTTAAATCTCAGTTAACCATCACAACAAGATTATTCTTGCAAATTAAAAACGTCAACAAAAATTTTAGTAAGTAACTTATTAATTAATTACTTACTTTGTGGGAGGCTTAGCAGGATCTGCAAGCAAAAGAGTCTTCTCCTTTTGCAAAGTCTTGGTGCTCTTACCATTTGGATCTACCTCCGCAGTAGCTTCCTTAGAGGAAAGATTAAGCATCAAATCCATAGTAGTTTTCTCATCATCACGATCAGTTTCAGTCTCAGAAAATCCTCTCTTCCTTACAACTTCTTCAGAAACTATGGCGGATCCAATTCCAAGTCTCAGCTCGGTTTCTTCAAATCTCATATTCTCCTTCTTCATGCCAACAACCTCCATGATAAGTTTTCACTCTTTCTTCTCTCTCTAAGCATTCAAGTGAGTGATTTGTATGGTATGTGGAAATAATAATAGTGATGGAAAGGGTAAGTATAGTGTAGTATAGGGGCAGGGAGAGTTTTGGTGGGCATTAATAGAAGAAAGTATGGTGCGGTTTGTCTTTTTCCTTAACTCAAGTTTTAATTAGTGGAAATTATGGGTTTGTTAATTACACGTGGAGGAATGTGTGAGTTGGACATGTTGGGCTTGGTGACGACAAGGTGATGTTATCTTACTATGAATGTTCAAGTGGAAGGTGTGGAAGTGGACACTCCATGTGCATTGCTTTTTACTACTTTCTTTACTTCTCTCTCTCCTAGGGTTTTTTTTTCCATCATTTGAATCACAAGGCTAAGTCACTATTGATTTATAGATGGATGTTTGTCACTATTACAAAAAAAATATGGAGATTTAACTATGGTTCGTGGTATCAAAGTATGTGATAATAATTGAGATGTTATTCATCACGGATTAATAATTGTGAATTTTTTTTAAACTAATCACCTTTTTAAAAAAGAAATACTAAATCAATTCAATTATGATTTAGTATGCATGTGTCATATCATATGGTTGAAGTATGGAATGATACACTAATTTATCATATGATATGGCATATGAAGTAAAATTAATTTTTTTAAAAAGAATTCACCAAATGACATGGAGAATTAGTTTTGGTTTTGTTTTTTTTTGTTTAGTTAGGGTTTCTATATTTGTTTTTTTTCTTTTTTTTTTAGATTTTAATTTTTGTTTTTTCTAATTTTAATTTTATAATAATTAAAATAATATTTGTAATTTAAATAATGTAAAATATATATATAAATAGAAGAAATAGTAAAATATAATAATTTTTAATATAATAAAAATTACAACTGATAAAAAAAGAAAATTAATGGCCGACTCTATCTAAACGATCACTGGTACCACATTGTGAAGGATGCGCGCGGCGTCGAGGTCTACCACGAGGTTGTTGAGGTGTATCTGGTCTTTGCGTGTTGACATGTGGAAGAGGTATTTGTTCGGATGACCCCGACGTATCAAATAAATTTTGAAGCATTTGACCCAATAGCCGGGAGAGCCACTATCAACGGCGCTTTCGTAATTAAGTTCAATGCCCATGTTTTGATAGTTTTGTCGGGGAGGTTGGGTGGAGAATGGACGGTATGATTGTCCGAATTGGTATGTCAAATTGGTTTGGAAATGATGTATTGGTTTTGTGGAGTTTGGTATTCAAAAAATGGATGGGTATTTTATTGGTAGGAAGATTGACTGTATGATGTGGGTTCAAAAGAGTTATCTGGGCTATAGGTGGAGGGGGTAGGGTCAAAAGATGTATCAGGGCTACATGCAGAAGCGGTGTCGGTTTTAGAACGCTGACGGTATGGGTAAAACTCTTGTTGTTGTGATTGGGTTGGTGGCATGTATGGATTATGGTTTTGGAAGATTGTTTGAATGAGTATAGTTGAATGTTGTGTATAAGATGGTGTTTGATGTTGGGCATTGGGTTGCTGATGTGGAGTCGAGGAAGACGCACGTTGTCTCGGGTCAATCAAATATATCGGCTCAGACAGAAATGGTTGTGAGGTTGTAGCCGACCTAAACCAAAGCATATATTGATAGCTTGACCTAGCCTTTTCCACAATAGGGTCGTTTAAGATGTGTTGACGTCGGTTCTTCCAATGCAGACACATATCTTTCGCAAAGTCCTTTTAATGACCAACACTCCATTGTGCATCCACCCATAGCTGATGCTAGTGTCCCAATGACGTCGAAGCATATGGAATATCCTAATGCATCCTAAACTGTAGTTTCACCCGGTCACTTTGGTGCATCTCCACTGTAAGGAACCTAATGATAGGTTTTTTAGATGTCCACACGGCAGCATCATCGGCGTTGGGCTGTTGGTCAAGACCCTCGTACGACATCCAGACAAATTACATTAATAATATACGCAATGAGAAATACAAGTTTGTGTTTATCAATTAGACAATGTAAAGGTAGATAAATTACATCATTTGACCCAATGTGTTCAATAAGGTTGTGGTACACGACTATGGAGTTCCTGGGACATCTTTGGTAATTCATCCCCGTAATAGGCCACCTAAAAAAGAGAAACACAAATAAATTAGACACTAAGACACATCGTACAAATAATTAAGTTATAAAGAAACTTCGGTTGTAAATTTGTCTTGAAAATAAACTTACTTGTTAGCGTATGGGAATGTGAATGGATTGCGATTGACTGGAGAAAGTTTTGGCATCCTAGACCAACCCCACGCTTGAAGGAGATAAGCGCAACCATAAAAAGTACAAGAATTGTTTTAGGCAATTTTTTTGGCATTTTTACATAACGCATATAAACCGTACATCAAGTTCAAATTATTTTCTTAAATCAAAGTATGAAAGAATTGAGTTCTTGAGGTCTCGCACTCCTTAAATTCTTGAGTGACCACTCTTGGGGCGTACGCCTTAGGTTGTGGGTTGCTCGACCTTTCGTCTATAAAACATGTGCCCTAATTACTCGGACAAGTACTTTCATTGTCCAACAAACATTTTTCATAATTAATGGAATGAAAAATATGTCGTTGGAATCTAGTATTCCAATGATATCCCGATTAATTGATTGCGAGGCCGACGTCTTATTTATCGAATAGTCGTCATTCTCCATCAAACTACCCAAACAAACTCCTCTTTCTCGCCCCCGTGTGATTGAAACCTTAAAACCCACTCAAATCCATTCTCTTTCCCAAACCAAAACATCCAATACGATAAACCTAATTCCCCTCCCTCGCGTGATCCCTGCAACTTAAACAACTCTTCTCAAAGAGCGTTATTTAGTCCTTTCTTCCGCGCATATGAACTCGTGCTTCAGCCTCCCATAGCGAGCAGACAAGCCAACGTTTAACAGTTAGAATGCGACCTAAACTCTCGTTCGACTCAAATATACCTTTTACCAAGAACATTGTTTAGTCCTTTCTTCCGCGCATATGAACTCTGCTTCAGCCTCCCTTAGCAAGCAGACAAGCCAATGTTTAGCAGTTAAAATGCGACCTAAACTCTCGTTCGAATCAAATACAACTTTTTCCAAATAACATTGTTTAGTCCCTTCTTCCGCGCATATGAACTCGTGTTTCAGCCTCCCCTAGCGAGCAGACAAGCCAATGTTTAACAGTAAGAATGCGACCTAAACATTCATTCGTTTTCAAACCTTTTACCGTAGTTGTCCGAACTACGAACGCTCTGATTCTTCATTCTCTTCTAAATGTAAGATACCTAGGCATAAGATTGCGATGATCTTGGTGAGCACAATTCCATATTTCCACAATTCCCTCGTTTACCCGTAGTCCCACGAACTACGATGCTATGACTTTCCCATTGCACAAGGGAGTACGTAGGCACAAGGGCCTCAATCCTTGGTGAGCACCCTATCTTAAAACCACCCATTTCCCCCTATATGCGAAATCTTAGAAGAAAATAAACAACCTAGCTAGCTTTTCTCTCGAATCGAGTCAAGAGGTTCCCGTTGAGTACAAGGGACGTAGAGGATGCTAATACCTTCCCTTTGCATAATCGACTCCCGAACCTAAAATTTGGTTGCGATGACCATGTTCTTATCTCTTTAAAGGATTTATCGAAATTTTCCTATTCCTTCCTTGGAATGAATAAAGTTTGGTGGCGACTCTGTTCGAACGTTTTTTCCGCGTCCATCGCGAGGATCGTATTTTTTGAGGTACGACATGTAAGAGCACAGATTGTGTCTTAGTAATATCTCTATGTTTTGATGATAACATTAATGATAATTTGTATACAAGAATTATACTCTCTAAATTTGTTCTAAACTGTTTTCTACAGACACAAAAGATTTTAATCTTTAAGAGCAAATTTGATGTGAACAATAAATTCTGAATGGCTCAAGAGCATCTGAAGATTAGAAGAATCTGAAGTATAAGAGCTTAGTCATCAAGATTCTGAAGATACAACACGCTGCTATATTATCAAGAATCTGACTGAAAGAAGACTCTGAGTGAAGAGACTCTAAATGAGAGAAGACTCTGATCTGAGTGAAGACTCTGATCTAAGAGCATGTTACGCTTCAAGCACACAGCTGCACCAGACTCTGATTCAGCAACATCTGAAGAACATCTTAGGCTCTGAAGTTTCCAGAAGATTCTGAAGACTGAAGACTCTGATATTGATTGTTGATCTGAACTATCTGAAGAATTATTTGAAGAAGATTATTTTAATATATCCGTTGGAATATGCCAGCAAATCTTTCCTTATTTGGGATAGACAAAATTCTCTGCAAGAAGATTATTCCTCTGATACATTCCACATATGGTAAACTCACAGCTCAGCAGACAATTGCTACACCCACTATTTGTGCGCCGTCTCTCTGCTGCAATAGTACAAAGGACAGTACTATTTGATATTGGAAATATCTTCTCCAACGGTAAAATATTCTCTCCAATATTCAAGTGGCTATATAAAGGAAATCATAGCTCATTCTTCAAGTGACGAATTTTGACGAAAACTATTGCAAGAACACTCTCAAGCTCTCATATTCTTTGCTGTTCATACATTGTTCTAAACTTAGAGAAATAACACAGTTGTGTTTATAGCTTTCATAGAAGCAATTTATTACTCTTACATTGTATTACATTAATTTGTAAAGGAAGTTTTCCTTAAGAGGATCTAGGTTAGATCAGTAGCTCTTGAGAAGACTAAGAACAGTTGTTCTTAGGTGTTGCTATTTGTAATCAGTTGATTTGAATAGTGGATTAAGTCCTTGTTGAGAAAGGCAAATCACTCTTGAAAAGGGTGGACTGGAGTAGTTGAGTTCAACGAACCAGGATAAAAATACTTGAGTTTTTATCTTTGAATATTTTCTGTCATACTTATTCAACCCCCCCTTCTAAGTATTTTCTCACCTTCAGTTGGCATCAGAGCTCCGGTTCTGAGTGTGC